GCGAGAGCTCCACCACCAGCGGCATGCACGGCAGCCCGTCCGTCTGAAAGTGGCGCATCTGCTGCGGCAGCCGCCGCACACTCTCGCAGTACTCCTTGAGCCGCAGGTACTGCTCCATGTTCTCGGCGTACCAAAATCCATGACGGTCCATCAACACACGACAACGCAGTTTGTGGATCAGCTGCCAAACGCCATTCGTGCGAACGAGCGTGATAAACGACGTCTCGGAGCGCGGCTCAATACCCACTACAGTGGCAATGTCAGGGCCACATGTAGCCTCAACCACGCGGTTTAGGACAATAATGGTGCGATCTCTCAATTCACAAGGGAACATTTGAATAAACATGGGCAGCAACTGGTATTTATCCACTGACTGTTTATTTGCAGTGTCGTAGAGCGGAGCGAGATTCACATTTTCTTCGGTAGTTATTCGGGAACTCTCGCGTACTGGTGGCGATTCGTCGCCGAGCGATACTGCTCTGTACGGCACATACCTTAGCGCATCTTGCAGTGTACCGTGAACGTTGGTTGGCTTCCTGGGCACCTTGATAGGATAGCGTTCTTTCAAGGCCTTTGTTTTGGTTGGAGCAGTCTTTGCAAACAATAACTGTTTTGAGGAGGGGCAGCTAGGAGCATTCAACTGAGGGGAACTTGTAGGGCGCAGTTTTCCGCCTTCAGTACTATGCCCCATCGCCAGACAACGAGTTCCGTGGTGAAGGCCGGCGTTACATCTGCTGCTACTGTCACTCTTGCCGCCGTCGACACGATTACCATCAAAGAGAAAAGACACCTCCTGTGACGCACTCGAATTTTTGTCGCTCAAATGCATGGGATACTGCTCCACCGCAAATGGTATCTTGAGCGCCATCCGGTTGCTTGGAAAATGTGATGGCGTTTGACAAGACGCGTTTGCAGTGGAGCACCTAGACGATACAACACCGTCCGTGCGTGGAGTGTCGCTGTCAACAAAGATGGGGCCCACGCTTCTCATGGCCCGAGCCGCAGCAGCAACTGCAACCATGGTCGCCTTGTTACTAGTGCTATCAGCGGTATTGGTGATGGCCTTTGCAATCGTGGAGTGCTGCCGCGGAGTTGTTAGCGCTCGCGGCACCACAGGGCCCATGCCCACAAGGTCATCCACGGGGGTGGGCACATGGGCGCTAATACTATTACTGTCAGGCGAACTCTGTAGTCTTTCGCGAGAGGAATTAACCACCGCAGCAGTTGGTGACACAACATCCCCGGGCAAGTTAACTGCCACATTACGCGCCTTATGCGCGCTATTTGTGTCGTGCAGGTTTATCACCGTCGGATAGGAGGGAAATTCCGTCCGGACGCGCGGAGCTGAGGAAACACCTAACACAGGTGACGTGCCTTGCTCAAAACAGGCCTTAGATACTGCGGTTCCATCAAGTACGCCCTCCGTTACCAAGCCACTCAATTCTGGAAAATCAAATGCATTTCTGTATGATACAGGAGAAGGGGACTTGCCAAAATCATCGCCCTCCTCCTCAATCGTCATAGTCGCGCCAAACTTGAAAAGTTCGTTCCACAACACGGTGGAATAAACCTCCCCGCGACTCTTAGCGAGAGGTGGTGAAGGATAGCTGGACGCGGCGGCACTCGTATATGCTTCCCTGTCCATTACTATCATCAACGGTTATTAATCCTTTGACAACTTTTTTTTTTTCGTTTTTCTTGGCGTGTATGCAATTATATAGAATCCGATATATTTTTATTGTGTGTGCGTGCCTGCTTCTCCTTCGCGCTGCTTTGTTCTGTTTTCGTTTTTGTTCTTTTTTTTCTGCTGACTGCCTGCGTTTATTCTTCTCGCTGATGTTCCCTCGAGGCAGCAAGCGACTCTGCAGATGGCGGTGAGTGGAGGGAAGGCGGGGCGGGAGCAGCAAAAAAAAAATGAAGTTGAAGCATTGTCTCCCCAGAGGGATGTAGGTGTTCGAATGCATGCATGCCCGAATGCGCACACCATTGGACAACGAAAAATGCGCACAATTTTTGTGCGTGGCAAGAAGAAGCTTAGAGGAGTCGCATCGACGCCGCGGCGGGCATCCACATTCTACTCGCAGCAACTCGGATCATACCTACTGACGGAGGAGACGCTTTGTTGCTGTCTTTCTTGCCGTTCATTCTTTCCTGCCTTCCCACTTCGTTACTTTAGTGCCGCTCTTCCCATTCAGTCTTAGTTTAGTTTATTTGCGCCCTCCGTCCCTCTCCCTCGCGTTTTCCCTTCACCGCCGCACTCGTCACGCCACCTCCCCATCGTTGCCGCTGTCGTCGCCGGTTATTTGCAAACCACCACGCAACGGGGCGCACGCGCGACCAAAAATGTGGCGGAAGGCGCCCCACACACGACGCGGGGTCGCCGCGGCGGCGACATCAGCGGGCAAAACAAACCAAAAAAGAAAAACGCACACACGCACACGCAAAAAAAAAAACGACAACAACGACAACGCGACGAGGAGCGAAGACAACCATCAACGCCACGGCGATGGTGAATGCAACCAACACCACAAAGGAGATTTGGAGAGGGAGGGTGGGAGAGAGAGAGTGAGAGAGAGAGAGACTGCAAGGGCGAACCAAAAGGAAGGGGTGACCAGGTGCCGAAATGACTCCATGGCCTCAGGGGAGAAGGGAGCACAAGAAGAGTAGACTTGCAACCATGACGGGTAACAAGGGGAGGGTGGTGGAAGGAGTTGGGTGGTCACGGTGAAGAACAAAAAAAAAAAAAGAAGAGACACACGCACAAAAAAAAAGCCGAGACAAGTTCACCATCGCCTACACTCTCATTTTTTCACCAAGTATATCCCCCAATCACACACAAACACACGCATTGGCTGTAAGTCCCAGCCCGAGTTTATTCCATGTTCGTCCCCCAGCTTCTACTACTGCCGCTGCCGCTGCTGCTTCGCATCGCCGCAATGAGTGCTGCTGAGAAGCCCAGGAAGCCTGGTGCAGGCGCAACCAAAGCAGAAAGAAAAGGACAGGAAAAAAAAAGGGGGGGGGGAAAACAGTTCATGAAGAGGAAGGAGAGAGAACGACATAAGATAAAGTGAAAAATACTGACAAGAAAAAGAAGATGAAAAGAAGGGAGAATTACATATATATTTCATTTGGAAACACACACAAAAAGCTGAAGAAAAAATGCAGCAAGCACAAACTCCACTCCCTCCCACGTAATGTGACCCATTCACACGGCGATTGTAATTGCATGTATATAAGGGTATAGAGGCATATCAATGCATGTATGTATAGGTATCGTTCTTAGACATGAAGAACAGTAGCCACGAGAGAAAAGAAAAGAAAAAAAAAAGAGAGGCAGGCAAAGTTAAAATTGGGTAAAGTGGGCCAAAGACGGTTATTGTTTTGTTTTTCCTGTTGCTTCTACATTAAAGTCCATAAGGCAAAAACCAGTCCAAGGAAAGGGGAAAAAGGCAAACAGTTCAGTTCCTCTGGATCCTCTTTCACTCATAAAATAAAATAAACAACAACAACAACAACAACGTCAGTGGGCGGGGGAGTAAGTTGCACTCACAACACGTACAAATACGCGCTCGCATATTGGTTTTGCGTGCGGTGTGTGACGACTAAAGCAGGACATGCCTGTCTGCCAGACCTGCTGCAGCGGGTATGGAATGAGTGCCACCCACATCATTGCCTCCATACGCACTGGCGCTGGCCCGCTTTTTCTTCCTTTCCCTCGCTCACCCCTTCATCGTTGCGTTACCAACATTTAGTTACGTAGTAACATGTTGCTGTTGTTGCCTCTTCAGTGAGTTCAAGTTGCCCAATTCCCCTGCAAGCTTCGATTCATTTATTATTATTTGCTTTACTTTGATAAGTTTCCTACACATGTAACTCTTTCTTTTTTTTCCCCTTTTCTTTTTTAGTTTTCGGTTCCCTCTTCTTCTCTTGCTTTTTTTTACTATTATTGTTGTTTTTCTTTCATCTTCCTGTGGTGCTTGTCACTTCTTCTCTTGTCTGATCCTCCATCCATCGTGGAGTTTCTGTCAGAGGTAGGGGCGGGTGGGGCAAGGACGTGTGTGGGTACGTGGGTTTTATTTTTTTTTCGGGAGGGAGAGAGGGAGGGGGCGTGCAGCATGACTAACAAACGAGGGGATAGTTTAAAAACAAAACAAAATAAAAAAAAAAGGATGGTAGGAAATAAACGTAAGAGGGGCGCTCTCCGGTGCCAACAGCCCTACTTTTGCCCACACTCTTTCAGTTCGTTTCGTTGCGCATGTTGGCGCCGCTTCCGCGACCACCGCCGCCGGCGCAGCCATGACCTCCACTCACCACGAGGAAAATAAAAAAAAAGAGGAGATCACGAACAATAATAAGAACAAGCGGAAGCAGAAGCGGCCCACTCCTTTTTTGCTCGTGCGGTTTCCAGGCGACTGGGACCGCATGAACCGCGTTTTTTTCTTTTCGTTTTTTTTTCTACGTATGAATCGACGCAGTTTCGCTAGATCCATTTGCTGTACGTTTTTTTTATTTTATTTTTTGCTACTTATGCTGCGTGCTTCGTAGTTTTTTCTTCTCTCTGCGTGGGAGCTAATGTATTTATTTTCCATTGCGTTTTTTTTTTGCTGTTGTTTTTCACTTCGGTGGAAGGGAGCGGAGGAGGGGCGTTCACGCGCGTGAACGCAATTTTGTCACTTCAGGCCTCCCCCACCCCCTCCTCAGCTTCCCGCTCGGTCCCCCACGCAGGGGCAGAAGGACGCACACACAGACACGCAATAGCAGACACTCCATTTCGTTTATTGTTCCTCGTTGCGTCTCAGTTTCTCTCGGGGAAGGGGAAGGGCGTTGCCGCGTCACTTCGCTCGCTGCTCCGCTGTGCCGTCTCCGGCACTTGTCTGGAAGCCGAAGTTAGGTTGCGCCCGCGCTGCGGCCCAAGTGCGGGCGGAGGCCAACACGCATCATACCTCGGCCGCGGTAGAGAGAAATGGGAAGAAATACGGTGGCGGAGCAATCAGTACAAAAAAAGGGGGGGGGAAATGGAGGGGGCGGGAGGGACAAAAAGGATTGGTAGATAAGGGCGTCAAAGGAGTGACGGGGGCGATGCAAAAAGGCCACGAAATGAAAAGCACACGCGTAAACTGGGAAAAAGCCATAAAGAACGACATAAAAAGGGACAAAAAAAAGTGCAAATGTAAATATGTGGGGTCGGCAGGGAGGAGGATGTGTGGAACAGAATAAGGAGAAGGAGAGAAGAGGCACAAATGTGCAAAGAACTCCACACGGCATAGGACTCAGCCGTGCTTTGCAACGTTTTTCGCTTGTGTATGCGTCATTTCCGTTTTATTTCTTACTTTCGGCAACTCGCGCGCCCTTCTCTATAAATATATCTCTCTCTTTTCTCGTCTCTTAAAACAAAACAAAAATGTTCCTGTACCCCTGCCCACCCCAGCGGCGTGGACCCCCCGCGCCCCAGCCCTCCGTGCCGCCGTTCTGCCTTCACTTTACTTGCGGACCACGCCTCCGGAAGAACGGCGAGGAGGCCAAAGGAAGAAAAACAGTGACGGAAAAACGAAGTAACAATAAGAGAAAAACGAGTTATGCAACGTGGAAACAAGACAGGGGCAGAAAAGAAAAGAAAAGAAAAAAGAGGCACTTCATGCGAATCTCCATTGATTACCTTCACCTCTTTATTGTAAATGATGGAAGCATGAGGGATAGGAGAAAGGAGAAAGGGGAAATAAGAAAGGAGGAGAGGGAAGTGTGTTTTCTGCGTGCACCCACGTGCATGTTTTCATTTTACTTTCTCTCCACGTTACTAGTGGTGCATTTGTGTATATATGTGTGTGTATGTGTGTGGGTGGGTGGGTGCGCGTGCGCCAGAGCCAGCCCTGGGGAGTAAGGGGCGTCCAATAAATGCGTACAGTTCACAGAATTACTAGCTGCGTCAGCGCAGACAGAAATACGTAAAAATAGGTCAAGGTTGCATACATACATTACGGGCGTGCAGAAGGATGTGGCACCACACTGCAGCGCCGCACAAAAACAAGCACTAACAATGTATATATATATATAACCATGTATGCAACGAGACAACAAGAAACAACATGTCAGTATCAACCAACAGGAAACTCAAGTGGCGAACGCCCATCCACAAAAAGGACGGAAACAAGAGGCAATTGACGTATTTTTTCTTTCTCTACTTCTCGAGCAGGCGCACACCTGTCATTTTAAGCCTATGAATAACTCCATTTGCACATTTGTTATTTTTTTTTCGTTTTTTCTTTTTTAGGTTTCTCCACACACGCACACCTCCTCACTCCCCACACATTCTCTCACTGACGTCCAAAGAGGCGCACAACACGCAGGGGTTGTCTTTTTATTTCGCACGAATGCGTATTTCTCCCCACTTTATCCCGCCATCACACACAACTAGCGAATTTTTATCGTTGATCTATTTATTTTCGCCTGTTGTTGCAGTTGTTTTCTTCCCCCCCCCCTTTTTTTATTTTCTTTTAGTAACATTCTCATCGTTCGCCGCATTTGTTTCTCTTCTCTCGTTTCGGCTGCGTTGATGCGTGGCCCGTGCACTCCAGCCCCCACTTGCCCCTCCCCCACGCGCAGTCGCCAGTCTAATTTCCGTCCCGCTCCCGCCTCCCCCCCCCCCCCGCGTCGCGTGCGGCTGCCGCCACCACCCGCCCGTCTCCGGCACGACTCTCGCACGGCGACAGCGCCACCGACGCACGCACGCACGCACACCAAAAAAAACAACAACAACAACAACTCACAAGGCGGCATGCGTGCAGGCGCGGCAGACGGCCCAAAACACAACCAACGCTATCGATCACTTCGTGCCGCTGGCGACGATGTCAGACATACGCATATGCGTATATTTCTGGGGGGGGGGGGAAGGCGCTGGAGGGAGGCGCAGTTTTCCATTCGAAATAAACTATGCCTCGAAAGACAAAAAACAACAACAATAACAAAAAAAAAACGTTTATTTTTCCTCTGCGCCTCTGGAGGGGAGGGGGAGGAAGCTGCGGCAAAGAAAAATATCGAAATTCCACAAGAAAAACAAAAAAAAAACAAAAAAAAACAGGCACGTCACAAGAAAAAAGAAAAAGCGAGATAATAAAAAGAAAAGGACAGTAGGGTGGAAGCGTGAACCGAAAGACAAAGAAAGGAAGAAGAAGTAGAAGTAAACACACAAATGCCTTTCGGCTTGCAGCAACATTTATGACAGCAAGCACGCATTGGTAATGAGGAGACGCTTTTTCTTCTCTCGTTCGGCAAACTTCCTTTTATTTTGTTTTGTTTTGTTTTGGTGCGTGTGTCTTCTCGGGAAATTCCCGTCTCTTGCATTTCGTGCAGCTCTTGGCCCGTTTCCATCACCTACATCGTTTTTTTGTTGTTGATGTGTTGATGTGTTTTGTTTTGTCTTGTTTTGATTTGGTTTGCTTACTTTTTTTTCTTCTTCCACCAATGGGAAAAGCTCTTCTTTTGCTGCGGCTATTGTTGCTGCAAATTTTAACGCATTAATGCATTTAAGCCCATCATTTCTCTACGGTATTAAAGCATACCTCAGTTGCATTTTCGCGTGCATCATCGCTGCCCACTATCATTGTTTTGGCACCAAGTTACTATCCGCGTTTCGTGGCTCCGTGCCTATTGTGCCATGCTCGGAGACATCTCCGCCTCCCTCCGTGCCGCCCCTCCCAACAGCGATTCACGCACGTTCTGCCCCATCCCGCTTGCAAGCACATCACCGGCGGTGTTGGCCGCCCCGCCGTTGTCAGCGCGTAGCGAGGCGGAGTCCTCATTGCTGCCCGTCGCAGTGCCGGTACGGGCGTGTCGTTCCATCGTGGCGATCGGCGCCACCTCGTCAAATGGCGGCGGGGCCGGGGGGGACGTCACGGACGCCGCGTTCACACTCCGCGAGAGCTCCACCACCAGCGGCATGCACGGCAGCCCGTCCGTCTGAAAGTGGCGCATCTGCTGCGGCAGCCGCCGCACACTCTCGCAGTACTCCTTGAGCCGCAGGTACTGCTCCATGTTCTCGGCGTACCAAAATCCATGACGGTCCATCAACACACGACAACGCAGTTTGTGGATCAGCTGCCAAACGCCATTCGTGCGAACGAGCGTGATAAACGACGTCTCGGAGCGCGGCTCAATACCCACTACAGTGGCAATGTCAGGGCCACATGTAGCCTCAACCACGCGGTTTAGGACAATAATGGT